AAAATGAAATTGACAAAAAAGCTCGGGGTCCGCCCGACTGATCCACCGGGGAACAAGTACGAGCTTGCTCCACTCCAGGGTCGAACTCGCCTCCTACGAAAAACCAGGCCTGTTTTTCATAGTTGACTGTGTTTGGCAACGAAACCGCTACACTAACTTCCACTCGTACAGGGCGTCCCCTCTAAGGTCAACCTGACAGCTCGACACGAAGCCTGGCTTATAAACTCGCGCGCAGTGGCTGCTGGTAGCCGGGCTTTGAACCTTAAAGCCTTGTCTCGAACTTTGGTAGCTCGACGGTTCGGGGGTTGAAAGTTTTGGCTGAGAAACACAGTTTCATCATCTTCGAAGACCGCAAGCTAGTCGACATTGGTATCACTGTGCAGAAGCAGTACCACGGGGCCTCCTTGCGCATCTCGGAATGGCCCGATGTCGTAAGTCTCGGCGTCCAGAGTGGAGATAGGATTGTCGAGGCTGAAGTCAACTGAGCTAACCACGCCTAAGAATGTAGATTTTTCTAGGCAGGAAACAACTGTCTTACAAGCCGTTGGACCAGACTGTCACGTCGCCCGACTTCCCCTTTCCTGATCAGAGGGCTTTTCTTCTCCCTCACCGAGCGCCTTCGTCGCCACGAACTCAATCACGGAGCGCGGGAATTTGCGCGCCAGGTCAACGCATTTCTCTGTGTAGGATCCTGGAGCGAAGCTGCCCTTCGGCGTCATCTCGTCAGGAGATGTGGTGGCAGGAAGGTAACACTTTCTTGTCTTCGTCGCCGGTGTCAACTTTGCCAGCAAGGGTGACAAGCTCGACCAGTGGTACCAGACTCCAGCAAGCGCTGTCGAATGCGGGGCGGAATCATCATAGCCCGTAGAGGTATTTATTTACACGGCGTCAGATTCGGTGGAAGCCACTAAGCGCTACCAAGCTGAGGGTTGGACAGCCTATATCAAGAGAACTCTGTAATGAGGAGTCAAACGCATCGGGGCATTTTTCTATGGGTTCCTGTGCTATGTAGGTATGTCTTTTAACTACCTAGCTGTCTACTCCCCGTAACCAGATTGGATCGCCACATTCCATCATGGCCCGATACTCGTCAGTTCTGCACGAAACGTCCACCCCGTTCCAAGTCTCGGCCCCGCCGGGAGAAAGGACTCTGTGAGGCAGGCCAACGACTGAACCAGTGATGGCGGCTTCCGTCAGATCAGCTGTCTGAACATGACAGAAAACGCGCCGAGGAAAGCATTTCCCGCGCCGGTAGCATCCACCACCTTGTTGGCTGAGGTAGTACTACCGTGGTGAAATGCTGGAAACCACCGGGCGGGGTACGACCTTGAAGCAACAAGACACCCGTGCTCGCCACAGCGAATCACGACGGCACCTTGCCCATCTTGTCCGACCCCAGACTCCAGGAGGTGAAGAGCATGATCCTGGATCGCGCTGCGATCGAAGTCGCTCGGCGTTGCTGCGCCGCTGCCGGGCCCCTGGAAGATGGCCAAGAACTAGATGTGGTTTGGTGAGTAGACATCGACTAGTTTAGCAGCCCGCAACTGCGCGCCCTAATTTTCTGGGCGGCAAGATGACGGTGCAGCCTCCCAGACCATGAGGGGCCGCGCAGAGAGCCCGCCGTCAGCCATACGTAGGGCTAGCAGACTCGACGTAAATTCGTGTAAATCTTCGGGCGAAGCCAAGAAGTGGAAAGCTGAAGACCCTAGCAGAAGCGGATTGCCTACGAGGTCTGCCGGTGTGGGTTGTAACGGAGGGGTGGTATACGCGAAGGTCCGGTCTGGGGTACCAACACATTAGCAAGACTCTCTCAGAGGCTGCGACGAGCCCAGGCAGGTGCCATTGTTTAAGGCCAAGCCGCCCCTTACCCTTGAAGTTGAAGCCCTGATACTGGAGGAGGCCCCGCGTGAACAGCTTTGACGCGTATTTTTTGACGAGTAGAGTGATACCCCATCCCTTAAGCGTGTCTTCTACAGAAGCTGGGAAGTCGGTGCCGGCGAGGACTATATAGCCTACTCTTTCCGGCTGCGTAGACCCCGCTACTGCAATTCGTGCGCCCAACCTGCCTACTTATAGATAAGTACTGACGATGCATTCTTTGTCGCGCGACACTTACTCTATAAGCCAGACCCACTAGGGACGTCGTGAAGGATGGTACCGTTGGGGAAACGGAGTTCATCTAGAACAACTATGCCGAGAGAAACAAAGGTGATCTCTGCAACCGCCATTTTTTTCTGTCTTTGAGCCGGTACAGATGGACGACAACCACACTTTTCCCAGAACTTGAACTCGACAGCGGTGAACGTGTCTCCCTGTGTACGGAAGGAGGAATCTCTTACCCCGCAGAAATTTGCCTCTCTGACTGTGAGTGGGTCGTGGCTAGCACCAGATCTCGCGTAACTTCGGGTTGAGACGACATCTGACTTTTGCACGCCGAACCAGCTTAACTCCGCCCTGCGCGTGACTTGAATCACAACATGGCGGCGAGACATTCTTAAACTTACCTTGTCTTTAATACTCACTCTACCTCACCCCCTACCCAGGTTCTGGAACTAACCCGGGCTCAGGTTGAAAAGTGTTGGGGGTGACTATATAGAAGATGTTCAAGCTGTTTTGGTTGTTCTAAAACGCTTCCTTCAATCCAACTCTGGTCCACATCAAGCCTTCCACATCAGCTACTACTAATTTGAAAAAAGAGAGAACAAGATAGATGAGATCTAGTCAGATCCCTCGTAGATGCTGAGCAGCGGGATGTTCCTCTGCAGGTAGCCATGCCACTTGGGCAGCGAACGCTTATAAGGCGTGTTGGACTTGAGCAGCAGGTCCTCGATGGCGCTGCCCCACTTGACGAGCTCGGCCTCGGCCCAGGCCGTCTGCATGATGGCCAGACCAAATGGCATGCCCGTGGCCGAGTGAACACCAGCTGGGACAGTGATGACCGGATACCCAGCCTGGGCAGCAATCTGGGGCGCCTGTCCGACGTCGGGCGGCACCAACAGTCCCGAGAGCTTCTTGCCGCCAGACGTGGTCAGAGCGTCGTTGATGCCCTTTCGCGTCGAGCTCTGGGTGAAGTTGAGGGCCTGGTAGTAGGTGGTGTCCCTGACGCCCTTGGTCTCCGACGAGGCAAGGAAGCCGTCCTGGCCCGAGTAGAAGGCCGGGTTGCCCAGAGGCCAGGGGTTGCCGCCCTCGCTGCCGTCGTTGTCGTAGTTGTACTGAATGATGTCTTCCAGAGAGCGGATGTTTGTGTTCTTGAGCTCGGACAGGTACGTCTTGATGTTGTTGTAAAAGTCGACCTTGACCACCGTGTACTCGGACTCGTTAGGATAGCCGCGCGTGGTGCCGTAGTCCCAGTTCCAGTAGTCGGGGCTGACGATGGTCTCGTAGTTGGTGATCTCGGTGCCGTTTACGATCCTGGCTCCGGCCGAGGTCAGGAGGCCCAGAATCGTCTTGAGCACCCGAAGCTGCTCGGGGTCGGCCTTGGTCCAGAAACTCCTCCAGGGGATGCCGAAGACGGCACCCTTGAGGGCGTACTTGTCGGTCAGGAACTGGGCATACCCGCCGCTGGGTGTCTTTCCAACCTGGCCGAGGGTGTAGTTATCCCGTGAATCGACCCCATAGATAGCGTCGAGTGCGTACACGGCGTCTCGGACAGTGCGGCCAAATGTACCAACCGCGTCTTGATGCTCGCTCTCCGGGATCACACTGAAAAGGGGGTTAGTTAGATGTGAGCAGAAGGGGGGAAAGCTTCAAATAACTCACCCAGCACGGGAAGTGAGGCCGACGGTGGGCTTGAAGCCAACAATGCTATTTCGTTCTGCCGGGTTAATAACTGTAGTTCTCATTCCAATTGTTAGCGTTCGATTTCTCAAACTAGTAGTGATAAGTGAACTCACCGCTACCATCCGTCTCGGTTCCAAGCGAGAAGGCAATTGCATTGGCAGCAACACCAGTGGCACTCCCAGTGCTGCTCCCACCGGGGTTGACAGTGAAGTTGTACGGGCTTCTGGCCTGACCGCCACGACCCGAGTAGCCCTCAGAGTAGTTGTTGCTGCGCATGTCGGCCCACTCGCTCAAGGTGGCCTTGCCAAAGAGCACGGCGCCAGAATCGCGGAGCTTCTTGACCACAAAGGCATCGCGGGGAACGACGCTGCCGAGGAGGGCCCAGCTGCCGGCCGTGGTCTCGAGCGCGTCCTTGGTCGCCATGTTGTCCTTGACGGTGAAAGGGATGCCGTGCAGAGGACCACGCACACGGCCAGCCTTCCGCTCCGCGTCCCGATTGGCAGCAATCTGAAGTGCGTCAGGGTTGAGCTGCAGAAGAGAGTTGATGTAGTCGTCTGTCTGGTAGACACGCAGCATGTAGCACTGCACCAGCTGCACCGACGTCAGCGTCCCACTCGCCATGGCTTTCTGCATCTGGTCCACCGTGGCTTCCTCGAGCTTGAAGCTACCGCAGCGCGGCATGGGGAACAGGTTGGCTGAGTCGGCATTCTGCAGGAGCGGGAAGAGGGAGTCGGTGGATGCTATCGTCGCCTCTGACAGAACCTTTCCGAGGACTGATCCTGCCATGATAAGCACGGCGCCGAAAGACGGCCATTGCCAAGGACGCCACTGTTGCGAGCCAGCCATCGTCATCTTCTTATCTTTGAATTCTCACAGGAAGGTGAAGAGTGGAGGTGATGAAGTTCAAGTTGAAGAATCTGAACTGCGAGTGAGGGAAATAACACCGCATCCCTGGGCCCCAAGCCTTCCTGCAATCTCGATTATGTAGATTTGACTAATCCACCATGGTGGAGGAGCCGCTAGTTGCTGCACGATGCTGAAAATAACGTAGCACAGGGAATGTATGTTGGTGATTGTTCGTCCCAGATAGGGTCGGAACCGTCGCCAGCTGGTTGCCAACAAGTGGGGGGGGGATGGCCAGCTGTAGATGACCAGCAATGTCTTTGTGACTGGCGGTAGCTCATAATTCCTAACCTCTGGCCCGAAAACCATCTCTATCAGCATCAATGGTGTAGTGGTTAGCATTCAAGCCTTCCAAGCTTGAGAGGGGGGTTCGATTCCCCCTTGATGCAATTGTTCAGTTGTTCTCAAATGTTCATTTTAGTTTTCTCTGCCAATTTTTATGGATGGATTTTTGGTCATAATTTCTGTGGATAACCTCAAGACCAGATGCTTGAGAGTCCCTAGCATTTTGACCCAGTAATGGCCCCCAGCCACCAAAGAGAACCATGCATGCCCGTTCCTACAGCCGTGACACAATCACCCAGTAAGCTGTAGGCCTCCGAGTGGCTTTGTCACCAAGATCCGAGCTTTGTCCCTGGACATCACTTTGGCCAATGATGATTGTGCATGCTTGGACCCAGAAAGGCAGACCGACGGGCTCTTGAAATGCGCCTGGAAAGGTTGCTGCCGGCACTTCCCCGCGTTTTTGCGGACCGCTGTCTGTGCCAATTGGTGGGGTGGTCAACCACTGAAGGCGTCCTCCACCAAATCCCTTTTCGGACGCCTTTCGCTCCCGTCCCCTGTTTAGCGCTGTGTCCCAGAACTCCCGGTCTTGCATTCCCGCCCACTGGTCAGAAATTACGCGGCCTCCGATGGGAATCTTGGAGCAAGGGTTTCAACGGACTGCCTTGGCCCATGGAAACAGGGGGTTATCAGAAAGCAGCACATATGAGCTTGTGTTTCTATGCTGCGCACAATACTTCACGGTTTTCGTCAAGAAGTTTGTGGTTCGGGAATGAGCAAGGCAAGTGCGGGAGGCACCAAACCAAGAAAAATGTCGCGTCACGTATCTTTCTCGTCCGTCGCGAAGGGATGTGTTGTTCTGCTGTTCAGGCAACAACCACCACTACCCACCCCGGTCCAGTGGTCCTCAATTGCAAGTGCAGCACCAAAGGTCATAGCTCCAGGGGCGCCGCCACCACCATCGCACTGCCTTCCTTGCCAGGTCCCCCCTCCACCCCGGATGAGTCCTACGGACGCCCAGGCAGCCAGGACTTCAAGCAATATTCCGAGTTGTCACAACACGTCTCTTCTTTTGTCCTGTTGACTGCCTATTTATTATCCCCCTTCTTCCCATCGTGTTCCTGCCATGCCGTCCCCCAACTCTCACCCTCGTCATTGGACCAAGCTGCCACAGCCCTCCTCGACTTGGCTCACATCACATGCCTCGTCAAGGGCAACATATCCAACTCACCAATCGCCTTAGCTCGAGCTCAAGTTACAGTGACAGTGACAGCTCAGAACGCCCCCCACAGCAGCGCCAGCAGCGTAACTACCACTGTCGCCGCCCAGAGAAACGAAAGAGACGTATCCTGCCCTTCAACATGCTCAATCGTGACGAGGTCTCAGAGAATCTCTGGAAATGGCGGTACAAGCTGCTGCATTTGGGCAAGAGCGACGAGAAGACGCTGTCGGACTTCTCTTCTGCCGATACCACCGCGGACGAGAAGGCGGCCGCTGGTAAGACCGGGAAGAAGTCCAGGTCGTCACTCGCGGGCGCCTCATCCACGGCAGCCAACACCGAGCTTGGGTCCAGCCCCTCCATTAAGACGCTGTATGAGGGACCCAACAGCCACGACACCAGCTATGAATGGGTTGACTACCCGCCGAAGCAGCTGAGCAAGAGCGCTGCGAAGGCCCAGGACCGCGTCGCCATCAAGGTGTTCAAGATCAAGGACACGGACAAGCCCGTCATTTCGGGCCGCGCCAGTCTGCGCTACCACATGATCGAGATCCAGAACCCGCTGCTCGTGGCCGCTCTCGCCGAGATCCTGAAGAAGCAGGAGATGCATCTGGACGTCAACGAGAACGCCACCTTCAGGCACCCGTTTCCGGAACTGTTCTTTGGCTACGACGACATTGTGACCGCCTACCAGGCGCTCGAGAAGGATGGCACCAGCGACCCGCTCAGGCCCTTTCTTCTGCTTCTCATCAAGCTCCTGGACGACATGTTTGCCGAGACACGGGCCAAGCTGGAGAATCTGCGTGCCAGTGGTCTGGTGTCCTTCAAGCTGGCCTGGGCCTACTTCCCCCGGAATACAACCATGATTACTTGGGGCAACAACTGTGAGCTGCTCGCCAAGGTGACCGACACGTCTTACCACTGCGCCGGTGGCTTGCACTTCATGGTCATCGAGGGCAAGGTCCTGCGCTTCAACGGCAGGGGCTTCCAGTGGGAGGACTACCAGGTCAAGCTGCGGTCGTTTGGCGGCAACAAGCCCATCACCGAGCTGCCCGCTTACCCGCTCGAGTTCCACGACGGCGCCGAAGACGTGAAGGCGAGGCTGACTGAGCGGGGCCGGAAGGTGCTCGAGTACCAGGGGCTGGCCTATGTCAACTACAGCGGCATCGCCATCCACCACGAGGGCAAGAACGTGCAGAAGCACAACGTCGACGGGAGAGTGCTCATCGACGTGGTGGGATACAACAAGCACCACCTCGCGCAAGGCGTGCGGGAGGGCAATGACCCGCAGACGAAGCGGCAACAGCTAATCGTGGGTGACGATGATGCTGACGGCGAGGACAATGCCGAGGAAGATGACAACATTGTCAGCAACCGCAACACCAATCTGAGGGAGCAGGCGGGTGCCTCAGCATCGGCTGCGGCGGCCAAGGCCAAATCGGCCACCAAGCGGCTTGGGCTCGCAGCACAGAAGCGCAACGAAAAGGCCTTGCTGGCGCTTGAGAAGCAGGAGCCGCATTTCATGTACATGCTCCCGCTGATCGAGGGGTATGCCCTGAAGAACAAGGTATGGGTGTCCTTCTTCGTCGAGGACATCTCGCCGCTGGCGTGGAACGACGCAGCCTACGATCATCTGGTCTACGACGAGCAGCAGAAGGATTTGGTTATGTCGTTTGTCGAGAACCACGGGGCCGACGCGGCACGGAAGAGGCCCAAGGCCATGCAGGATGTCATTGCCGGGAAAGGTTAGTCTGTCCATGCACCTCTAGTTTTCTTCGTGGCAGTTTGCTAACTTTTGTTTGTTTCCTTCCAGGGGAGGGCTTGATTATGCTTCTCAGCGGACCACCGGGAACAGGCAAGACGCTTATGGCGGAAGCCGTCGCTGACCGTACTCACCGACCTCTCTTCTACTTGCAGGCTGAGGATCTGGGCATCAACGCGGCCATCCTGGGTGCAAACATTAAGAAGGTGTTCGAGATGGCGACTGAGTGGAACGCGGTAATTTTGCTCGACGAAGCCGACGTCTTCATGGCCGAGCGACACCCGCAGGACATTGCCCGCAATGAGCTCGTGTCCATCTTCCTCCGCGAGCTCGAGTACTACCGCGGCATCATTTTCTTGACCACCAATCTGTACAGCACAATTGACTCTGCTTTCCGCAGCCGTGTCAGCCTGCACCTGCTGTTCAACTCGCTCACACCCGAGGCTCGCACCATGGTATGGCGCAAGTTCCTCGACCGTCTCCCGCCACACCCGACCGAGAGTGCTGGGGAAGTCGGCGACGAGGGCGAGGCAGTGAGTGCAGCTGTTGAGATCAGCGACGATGACCTCAAAGAGCTCGCAGCATGGCAGCTCAACGGCAGAGAGATCAAGACGGCCGTGAAAATGGTGCGGAGCTGGTGTGATCACAAGGGATACGCGATGACCCTGTCGCGGATTGAGAATGGCATCAGGGTGACCAGCCCCCATGCGAGCAAGAGCTCAAATGAGAAGGACACTTCGCTCTACGACGAGTAGATGTTCTCATTTGGATTATTGGGGCGTTTTCCTAGGTTGGATTTCACGTAAAGAGTCAATCCCTTTGAGGTGGCATATACCAGTTGATTTTCGGTTTATAGTACCAGAAAACAAAAGTACCTCTTCAGTGAGGTAGATAATATTTGGACAAGTTGAATGCAATCAAAAACCGGGCTTGTTTGATAATCATTACGTAGAATAAACAGTATCTTAAAATGGGGTGATTATCTTTGTCAATGAACACCGTATTGTTTCGTTGGGCATCCGCATTGCATGCTAAATAAACGTGACAAAGGCGATATTTTGCTAGGCAATCCCCGACTTTGGTCCTGTTCCTCGGGTTGGGTACGTATCATGAGACCTGCGGGGTTGCACTTGTGCGTGCCAGCGTGTGATATGGATGCCACGGAAATAAGGTGTACCAGTAGCAGGTGCAGCTGGAACCTGCAAGGTCTCAGCGGGCGGGAGGAATACGAGGGTCTTGGCGCTGCTAGTTTTCGTTACACGGGGCAATTTCTCCGTCAGACCACTCATTGAAGGCGACGTGACCTTCAGCTTTGAACACGAGACGCCCCGACCACGACACTTTCCGATGTGGCTTTTCGGTCTCAATGGGGGGTTGGTTAAGTCCCCGAGCCGTTTCCTCGTGCTGAATTATATATTATCAGCACACTCGCACACTTGGTTATCCTGCAGCAGCTGAACCCTAGAATAAACAATCTTCAAATAAGCTTCATTTCCGCTAACGCATTCGTTATCTCTAACAATACACCAAAACAGTATGCTGAGTCTTGTTCAACTTCTCACCACCACCCTGCTGTTATATACAGCGTCCTCGAGCCCTGTCTCGCCACGGCATGGTGACGACGGCCCAGCCTGCCCCGCAAAGCCTCCCCATGGGGGCAAGTGCTGGAAGGATATTCTAGCGCTGGAATGGAAGGTCCACGGCTTTGACTACCATGCGTCGTACATCTTCTCAACCCCTGCTCACCAGAACTCGTGGGGCTACGTCAACTTCAACCTGACCAACAACGTCGTGCCCTACACGGCGACGTGCAGCGCTAGCAGCAACCAGCTGTCCGAGTTCTTCTTTGGCACGATGGAATATCCGTGCACCCTCCCGTCGACAGCCCCCGCTGGGTCTGCTGTCAGCTTCAAGTTCAGCCGCCCCACCGGACAGCTGGACATCAAGGAGACCATCATTTGCAACGAAAACAAGATCACGTAGGCCTCCCTTCACTACATCCTTTACTCCTTCTTTCAATACTCTGCCGCCAAGCCTTTTGGTAGACGGTGTTGCAGCGAAGAACTTGTGCAAAAACAATTTGACAGTACTAAATCCTGATTGATGTCTTAACAATAGGGGAGACT